AAAAAAAAAAAAAAATTAAAGTTTAACTTAATAAAAAGTCTAATTTTCGATTCTGTCTAACGATCTTCTCTTCTAAAAGATGATAGGGGTACCCATCCTTTCAAACTTAGCCTTTTTTTTTTCAATATCTCAGAAGACCGAAAGCTTTTAATCATCATTCAAACTTAAGCCTATTGAACTTAATAGTCTAGTTGAATCATATGTTTATGGGTAAAATACTTTTTCACATCTGAACTATCACGATTTTGGCGCATCACCATATAAACTATTTTTTTTACAAACCACCATATGAACTATACAGGTTTGTCAATGTGCCCCCTAAACCAGATACAAAAGTGGTTTTGTCTGTAAAAGCTGTTTGGTCACCATATGTGCCCCCTAAATACTTTTACAACCACCATATGAACTATCACGGGTTTGTCAATGTGCCCCTTAAACCACTTTTATATTCGGTTTAGGGGGCACATTGACAAACCCGTATAGTTCATATGGTGGTTTGTAAAAAAAAATAATTTATATGGTGATGCGCCAAAACCGTGATAGTTCGGATGGGAAAAAATATTTTACCCTATGTTTACCAAAACAGTGGAATCGGAGGTTTTGACAAATCCAACATCTACATTATAGTCTAAAATAACTATTTATCAAGAATTGTCGTCACTACGAGTTTGAATCACTTATTTATTTTCTTACTTGGATAAAATTGTCAAAATCTCCAACTTTTTTATTATTATATATTTCACGCGTAGTTGCATCAATACTCTTTCTACTTAGTCATTATGGATACGATCTTTCTTACTATTGCTTTTACGAGCAGGAATTTTATTATTGGAGTAGTTACATAGTTAGGTCATTAGTTGAGTTAGTTAGTTAGTTAAGTGTGTGCATGATTAGTGCATGGTTAAGCACGTGTGATTAGTTACAAAATATTGTTAGGTTGAAGAGTTACTATCTCTCTCTCATCTTCATGTACTGTATATAAACATCACTGCCAGTATTGCAATACAACAATTCATCATGCTTTACACTATCTGCATCTTCTCTCTAACATGGTATCACAGCTAGGGTAAAAAATTTTCGCCATGGCCGAGCTCCATGTCTCGTCGCCGGCGTCGCCTTTTCTCCCTCACCTCACTCCGCTTCCTCTTCGTCTCGATCGTTCAAATTTTTCGTATTGGAAACTTCAAATTCTCTCCACTGTTCGTGCTTATGGATTTGAGGATTATCTACTTCAGTCTGCTCCTCCGGCGAAATATCTCACCGTCGTCGATGGCTCTTCCTCGTCTGCGCTTAATCCGGCCTTCATCAATTGGATGCGCACCGATCAGCTTATTCTCAGTTGGATGCTTGCTTCCATGTCTGAATCTATGCTTGGTCATGTTACCAGATGCTCTTCATGGGCTGAGGTTTGGTCTGTTCTTCTTAAGCTTTTTCATTCACAGTCCAAAGCTCGTGTTCTGCATCTCAAGTTTCAACTTCAAACCCTAAAAAAGGGGGATTTATCGATTGATGACTATATTCTGAAGATGCGTGGCTTTGCGGATGAATTACTTTCTGTTGGACATGTCATTACTGATGATGAACTGGCCATGTATGTACTTGGTGGATTGGGTGTCGATTATGAATCTGTTGTTATTAATCTCACGTCTCGGCTTGATTCTATTTCGCTGCATGAGGTTCAATTCTCCTTGCAAACTCATGAGATGCGATTAGCCAGTAATACATCTGCATCTCCGGTCGCTTTTCCGGCTACAGCTTCTTCCATCTCACCGGGTTCTGAGAATGCCTTTTCCGCTCAATATATGCAGTATCGTGGTCGTGGTGGTTCTTACAGAGGCCGTGGTCGTTCCAATCGTGGCCGTGGTCGTTTTTCTAAGAACTCTGATAGGGTTATTTGTCAGCTCTGTGGCAAGTCTAACCATGTTGCGCTCAAATGTTATAAGCGTTTTGATATCAGCTTCACTGGTCAGGATTCTGCTCTTTCTTCTCCTCAGGTGTATCTTGGTGATGCAAATGCCTCTCCTCCCAGTGGCTCATCTTCTACCTATGGTTCTGATCCCAATTGGTATTTTGACAGTGGTGCAACTAATCACTTAACTGCCAACCTTGAGAATCTGTCAATTCAAGCACACCCCTATCAAGGTAGTGCTAAGGTTCTTGTTGGTAATGGATCTCAGTTACCTATTTCCCATACTGGATCCTCTTCTATTGCTACTAAACATCATCTTCCTGTGTTGTTGAATAACATTCTACTTGTTCCACATATTACAAAGAATTTACTATCTATCTCTCAAATAACCAAGGAAAACAATATTGTAATAGAGTTTCACTCTGATATATGTCTTGTGAAGGACAAGACAACACATCAAGTGCTATTGGAAGGAGTTCTTAAAGATGGCTTGTATCAGCTGGATCTCTCCAACCATACCTCTCTCCTACACCATATCACTGTTTTAGACTCAGTTGCTACACCCTACAATCTCACTGCTTCTGTTCATTCAAGAGCTTCTGTCCTCAGTCAGGCCACGAGATTTGTGCTAGTTTGGCGGTCAAAATGTAATTATGATCTCTTGAGTGTTCAAAATAAGGTTGTAAACGAGTCGATTTGAGCTCACGCTCGAATCTTTAATGAGTCGAGTTCAGCTCGTCTCGTTAAGTAAACGAGTCAGAAATCGAGTTCAAGCTCAAGTTCGGCTCGTTCGTCAATAGTAACGCGTCGAGTCCGTGCCTTAACGAGTTGATATCGAGTTTTGACAGGTTAAACTATAAAAAATTATATTAAAAAAAATTCTTTTCGAACCTTATCGAGACGAGTCGAGTCTGGCTCTCTAGCGAAACTAGTTTTGAACGAGCTTGGCTCTATAGGTAAACGAGTCGAGCTCACGAACGACTTGTGTCATTTAACAACTCTAGTTAAAAGTAAGAAAATGACTTTTATAAATGTAGAAATAAAAAATCGAGCCTAATCATGTAATTTGGTGTGATGTGTTTGATTATTTTAGTTAGAATATTTTTGGTTCGATTTATTTATGTGTTATGGTGGATTCAGTTATATTTTCCACAAATTTGATTTTTAAATTTGTGTTAAGGTGGATTAGTTATATTTTTGGGCTATGCATACCATGGTTTTTGATCGCGGGCTATGAAAAATAGCGTCGGGCATTTCTGGCCGCTATTCGACGCTATAGCGCCGCTATGGCCACGCTATAGTGCCGCTATGGCATAGTAGCGCCAGGCTGTTTTTGCCGTTATTCGCGCTATTCGCGCTATTTGGCGCTATAGCGGCGCTATTTGGCGCTATAGCGCCAAATAGCGCCGCTATAGCGCCAAATAGCGCAAATAGCGTGAATAGCGGCAAAAACAGCAATAGCTTGGCGTTAGCTGATCTGAGCCGCTATAGCGCCGCTATAGCGCGCTATTTAAAACCATGATGCATACATAAAACCTCAATTCTAAACTCATCTTTTCAATCAATCTCTAGACAAAAAAATATATATATATATATATCATTCTACATCCTAGTCAATTAATTAACAAATAATCAATGTTAAAATTACAATTTTGTCCCAATAAGTACTTGTTTTCATTTATTGTAGTACATGTAACTTTTAAAAAAGTGCCTTAAGTTGAAAATTGTCATGCAGTCCCTGATTTCCTTTTATCTAATATCTGAAACTGTTTCAGGAGTACCACTTTGTATAAAATGGTGTCAGAGTCCAAATTTTATTTTGAACTCTTAGATAAATTTATTATGAAGTAATTAAATTTAGAAAGGGAAAAATTTTAGCAATGAATAGTGAAAAATTGTCCAAATTATGTGCATTATAATAGATATGTTCAAATTTTGAAGATGTGCAAATAAGAACACGAACAAATGGTTGTCCACTGAGATGATTGTTATGTTGAGCGAGTTATGATAGGAGTAGATAGGATTACTACTAGACTCTGTCAAAAACAAAAGAAGTATCATGTGAGTGTCCTCTCAGTAAACCAACTGATACAAATTGATTTATTAAATCATCAAGAAAGAGCTCATATGTATCATATTGAACATTAAGTCATAATAATTTACTGGCTGGAAAGAAGTTATTCCAAACTCTTCTTAGTACTCCAGAGATATCCGTGAAGTACAAAGGACAGTAGAAAGTTACGAAGAACTTCAACATAAGGTTCCTAGAAAAATCCACCAGATACAAACGAAGGTGAAAGAAATCATGAACAACCAAAAAGAGAGATTTGATATCCTTATACGTATCAAGAAACAAGTTAAATCCTTGGAAGACAACTCCAGGTACTTCTGGAGGAAACTAAAAGTAACTTATGGAACGGTACTCCTCTTACACCAAAAGAATAAACAACGAAAGTTCGAAGGCCGATAACGGAGGACGAAAATAAAAGAGTCATCTTAAAAGAAAAATCCACTAACAAATATTTGCACATGTACAAGTAGAATTGATTTATTAAATCATCAAGTCCACCTATTAGAGTTGTGGCTCGTTAATTAAACTGGTACCCTCTCAAATCTTAACGAATCGAGTTCACAAAAGCGCGTTCCCTTTATGAACTATACCCATTAAGTCCACCACATGACTATCAATTAGTCAACGTTTTGTAATTAAAATTAAAATATTAAAAAACAAGGAACAATTAAAAAAAAAAAATTAAAATCCATCTGCTTTTGCTACACACCATTTTCACACACGATTAAAACACAGATACATATAATCACGCCTCGATCACGCTATATTATATTGTCAATTGAGTTCTATAAAATAACAACAAAAAGGTCATTAATTGATCAAAAACTATCTCTGTAATTTGAACACAAAACATGAATTTTTTCACATTTATTTTTCTCTCTATTTTGTGCCTTGCTTGCTACACTGAATGCCACAGTGCAAGAGGGCACAACAATCTTCTTCGAGATCTACTAAAGACGAGGAAACTAAGAAAACAATCTTACAATTATCGTACAGACGGTTCGCCAGTTTACGTCGCACCACAGGAGGGTCTGAAAGAATCCGACAAAATCGGATCATTGCCTGGACAACCGGCCGGCGTAAAATTTAGTCAATATTCAGGTTACGTTACGGTTGACCCTAAAGCCGGACGAGCATTGTTTTACTATTTTACCGAAGCCGAAGAACCCGCCAACAAACCTTTAGTCTTGTGGCTAAATGGAGGTAATAATAAGAGTGATGATGATCTTATCATTTATAAGGATGTGATTAAGAGCATGGTTCAATGTGTGAAATGTTTGTTGGTTTTTGGATTCAAAAGTATTGGATCACCCTTTTTTTATGGAATTCACAAACTAGTGATTTTGCCCTGCATTTTTTTTTTATATGTAATCGCGGTAAACTGCAACATGTACTATACGTGTTAACTTTTGGAGTTCGCTATAATATTTTTTTATGGCGAAATGTAACATGAACATTTATAATTTGCAACATCTCGATGTTCATCTGCAAAAATGAACTCGTGTATGGTCAAGATGTAGGCGAATTTGCAAGTTATGAATATTTATGAAGTTTTGATCACATTTTTCCACGAAAAAAAATGTAGATTGAAAAGACAAAAAATATATATAAATAAATAAATGAAAAAAAATATTTTACCCTCAATTAAAACATATAATCCATGCATTGTCATGCCTATATGATTGTAGGGCCTGGATGCTCTTCAATAGGAGGTGGAGCTTTGACAGCACAAGGACCATTTCGGGTCAACCCGGATGGCAAAACACTATGGTACAACAAATATGCTTGGAATAACGGTAATTTTAATAGAATGTTATGTTGTGCTTGATATTGAGTCAGCTTCTTAGGTCCTGATTGGATACGTACAAGTTCTGCGATCGCGATAATTTTTTTTAACACATCGAAAATAAACGAGCCGTTTTCACCTATACATTGTCAAAACTATGCTTTCGATCGACAGGGAAATTGATTAGACAAAATCCTGAATTTACATGCAGTGGCAAATGTAATATTTCTGGAATCGCCAGCTGGCGTGGGGTTTTCGTACTCGAACACGACTTCAGATTATGTCACGGGCGACGAGCAGACAGCTAAAGACTCATACACTTTTCTCATCAACTGGCTCGAAAGATTTCCAGAGTACAAAACCAGGAAATTTTACCTAAGTGGAGAAAGTTATGCTGGTCATTACGTGCCTCAGCTTGCAGATCTGATCCTCGAGTATAACAAAATCACAAATCACACCGTCATTAACTTAAAAGGACTTGCTGTGAGTTGATTGATGCAATATTTGCCGCCTTTTGTTCTTCATTTTCGATCTCTTTTTTATTTTTGTCCTAAGAAAAAACAAGAAAACTTATAATGCATTATTATTTTCAGATTGGCAATGCATATATCGACTTTGTTGATAGGTGGAGCGGCATGTTCGATCATTTGTGGACGAGTGCCCTTATATCCGAACAAACTCACGAGGGCATAGTAAAAAACTGCAATTTTTCTTTACCCCACCCCTTTGAAGGTGACTGTGAAAAATATATTGATGAAGCCTATACAGAGTTTGGCAACATTGATATTTACGATATTTACGCGCCATTATGTGGCTCGAATTCAACCTCTCCATCGGTAATTATTCATTCTCCACTGATAGATTTATCAAAGAAAATAAATAGCTAATCATTTTTATTTTATTTTCTTCAAAGAACTAATGTGCTACTCAAAAGCAGATATCAAGTTACGATCCCTGCTCGACTCAATATGTGACCGACTATTTAAACAGACCCGACGTGCAAAAAGCTCTTCATGCTAACATAACTGGAATTCCGGGACCGTGGTCGAATTGCAGGTATGTTACGAAAAGTATTTTATCACGATTTTCGCGCGTAAAAATTAAATAGTTGTTTTGTAAGACCAACCTTAACATACTTTTCGTAGTGATCTTGCTAATAAAGTTCGATAAATCTTGAAATTGCCTGCTAAGTATTTCTTTTCTGTAAAAGAGTTGATTGAAAATGACATGTACAAAGGGACAGATAGTGTAAAATGTTAGATAATAATATAATGAGCGACGACTTATAATTTATATTCTCTGCAGCGATCCCGTGTTTGACAATTGGAATAGAAGTCCCGACACTGTATTACCTATAATCGAGAAGCTAATGAGCAGCAACATTAGTGTTTGGATCTACAGGTGAGTACATTATTCGAAGCCTGTATATATTGCTCGTGTCATATCATGTAAAGGTTGAATAGATAGGTTTCGGCTTAAATTCTGATGAACTATATGCAAATTGGCAGTGGAGATACAGACGGTATAATTCCAGTGACCACGACAAAATACTCGATGGCTAAGCTCGGCAAACGTGTGATAACACCATGGTTCCCATGGTATGCCAGCAATGAGGTAAAAAGAAGAAACGGATCAGCTGATAATTGCAAATAAAATAAAGAAAAAACAACGAATCGTTAACATTATTAATAATTTTACAGGTGGGAGGTTACACAGTTGAGTACGAAAACGTGACGTTTGCGACTGTAAGAGGTGCCGGGCATATGGTGCCGAGTTATCAGCCTGAACGTGCACTTGTTCTGTTCTCGTCCTTCTTACATGGAAAAATGCCACCAAATAACACAACCTGAAATGAGTTACGGTGAAGTAAAATTTGTAGTTGCCCGAAAATTTTGTGGTTGTTATGTTGCATGAAATCGAATACGGATCGCGATATCTTTTTATTCAATCTTGTGGTAGCTAGCTAGAGATGCATGCATTTGATTCGAAAATTAGATGACCCCGAACATACATCGGTCGAGGGAATAATATCAACAATTTGTTTTTGTTTCATATTTCTTCTCGAAGAAATTAATCCGATTCTCTTCAACGAAATTTTTGCTAATAGTCAAACCGAACTGTTCGCTTTAATACAGCTTAATTAGATTTGGCTTGTGAATGCTCGAGCTCGAATTCCGCTCGTTCGTTTACTCATACTAATCGAGCTCGAACAACTAATCAAACTCATTTTTTAAACGAGTTGAGTCATGCTTGTTCGCGAACAACTCGTGTAGGTATTTGAGTTTACTGAATGAACCGAGCTTCATTAACTTAAACGAGCCGAGCCGACTCATTTATTAATCGAACATAAGCTCGAATGGCAAGGCTAGACTAACACCCTATTTAGCCTGTTTGTTCTCATTTTGGCGGACCACCTCTGATTTGACTTCTAGGACGACAAAAATTTACTTTGCAACCTCACCACGCTTTGAACCCAAATAATAATATAATAATAATAATAATAATAATAATAATAATAATAATAATATTAATAATAATAATTAAATAATATATGTAATTCTTTGGGTTTGATTAATTCAAATATGTTAAAATTAAAATCGAAACTGAAACAAAATAACTAAAATTTCAAATAAAAACAGAGTGCAATATTTCAAATCAAGATGGAAATGCCTGCAAAACTTGCCAAAAACCGGCACCGTCCATTGTATCTAGACATGATCACGGGTCACCCAGCCTGGAAACGACACGAACCCCTAGAAACGACACGAACCCCTGGAACCGTCCCCAACCGGTCAATCCCGTGGTAAAGATAATATTGTATATAGGAGAAATAATACAGAGAACACTGGGGTCGAATTAGATTTTTTTTTTTTTTTTGCTTATAAGATT